TCACTTGAATTTGATAACAGTAGTAATAAGTAAAAAATTTATAAAATCATGACATTGATTTTGTATTGTGGTTCAGCAGAACTATTAGAAACACAAACAAAATATAAAACAAGCAAACACGATCGGGTTCCTGAACTATGTTATTGATCAACACCATGAGGCCCATCATCACCTGCATCCTCAGGTGTTTTTGCACCATGCTAGTTCTCCCTCACTGTTTACATTTGATCACTGCTGCACTTTATGGAATAGAAATGTTAATTTACTGTCCGAGAAGCTGTTTTGTATACACTTTGTGTATACAAAATGACAATAAAAGTTGTTTAAGTCTAGTCTAAGGTCCCTGCATGATGAGGCAGATGGCCATCATGATCACAATGATCTTCATCTACATTCTCAAGTTCCGTAAGGATAAATGGTTTTAAAAACACTTAACAGAAATAATTTTTCTTTTCTTTCAGCTTGGAATTGAATCCACTTTGGCAGGCCGCTGTCAAAATGCGTCAGAGAGTATTATGGGCTCATTTGGTGCGGTGGTCCCTCAAAGAAATAAGTCTCAACGCCTGACATCATTTCTATGGACATGGAGAAACAATATTTTATTTGCTCTAAGGCAGGGGTCTGCATCCTTTCTTATGCAAAGAGCCATTTTACTCCAACCCAGCTAAGTAAAAGTTGCTCAGAGCCGCAAATATTACAAGGCTTTTAAATAACACACTTTTTATTTTTTTAAATATCTGCCATAGGAAATCTGTTGCCATTTTAAACAGTGGTAAATTTGATTCAATTTCTGATATTAGGAAAAAAGATAATAGTTTGATAAAGAAGAAGCATTTATTTTAGATTTTGTTGTATAGGATATTATTTTATATAAAAAATAAAACAAATTGTTTCCAAGGTAATGATCTCAAAACATATTCCTGGTTCTTTTTATGTCCTTTTGTAGTGAAAATTAAATTTACGTAAATTTACTATCTAAGCTTGAAGTAAAGTACTTTCAATATAGTACATTTGCTAATGTACTGTATTGAAAACTATTAGTTTTCAGGCCACTATATAGAGGCATTGTATTCCAAAGAGCAACCTGCAGCTCTGGAGCTTCTGGTTGCAGACCCCTTGGCCACAGTCTCATACATCAAGTAATTTTATCATCAGGTGACAGAAAAAAATTAATGCTATCAATGTAGTTTAGGCCATATTGCTTTAACTGGCAACCCAACAAATATAATAACTCAAAATTATTTGACCAGAATTATTCATAGCCATTCAGTAAGCCTCTCTCCAAAATGTTTGTCTTAGAGATATGGACGTTGAACAGTTTTTCTATATCAACTCTTCCACAAATGGTTGTTTAAAGGAGCACTTTTAAAAATAAACAAACTATAGAAGCTGATCACTGATGAGCCTTTAGTGAATTCAATCTTTTGACGTTTCTATATGCTCTATTGTGAAATATAATGTAAGCCAAACAAATTAAACAAACATACATATTTATAAAAAAAAAAAAATCACAGACATGCCATTTTATATTCACTGAATAACTGAATTATTAATATTATTTACAGGAAAAAAGATAAGTATCTAAGGGTTTCTAAGGAGGCTCTAGGGCATGCATGCCCAAAATAGGTCCTTGAGGGCCACTGTCCTGCAGGTTTTAGAGGTTTCTTTGCTATATTTATGAAAAGAGTGGCCTTTAATACTACAATTAAATGTGACCGCTATCAGAACAGAAGGAGACGTCACATAGCAGTGCAGTGTATGGAACG